AAAAATTTTTAATAATAAGGGAAATTTGAATTATGTCTTCACAAATAATTTAGGGACCCATCTTTAGTTGTAACCCATATATTAAATTTACTATAGATTAGTACCATTTCAATACCATTTTGATATCAGTTTGGTACTTTTCGGAGCCCTAGTCTTCACCTGACAAGAAATTGACAATATTGTCAATGACTCTTTCTAAGGTTGGTTTTAATGGATCGGACTAGATAATATATTACATTTTAGTAAAAACACCATCCTCTGACACGAATAGCTGTGATGAGCCTTCATGCGGCTAATTGAATATACATGTGAGAAAGAAAAAGATTAGACAAAATGAAAAGATAATTAATATACCATTGAATTTGTATAACAACATAGATACATACAGTCCAAACATCAAGAAAATAAACGAAGATATTTTTCAGAAACCAGGTGTATAACATTTGCGAAATCAAGAAAACATTGATGGTAAGAGCAGATTGAAGTATGATTGGCATGTTCGATATATAGAAAAGTTTAATCAGGTATGTGCCACACTGACCATGGAAACGATTAGATCAAACGGAAAGTTCAACATGAAAACCCTAAAGGTAGATGACAATAGCAAAAACTATCATAGTGGCCAGAAGATTCATGACATTGGGCAAATTGGTTCTGTAAAATGATTCCTTCAATGCACAGGTTTTATTGTTGTAGGTGAAAAGCAAATGGAATAAAGAGATTATGGCACCCTTAAATTTAAAACCTTGACCAGTATTGACGGTGGTTAAACTGAATGCTTTTCAAATGATGGATTCACAGATGTTGGTGGCAATAAAAAGAGAAATATTGGAGCCCAAACCATATCCTTTCTGCAAAAGTTCGTCCAGAAGTATAGAGATGAGACCAGCAACAACAAGTTGGATGACAAGTAGTAAGCAGACACCAGCTCTGATTTTGAAGAGATTATTATACAACCCGGTTATTACGGATATGGTGGTTTGACCAAAAGCAAAAATCATGGCAAAAAGTTTTTGGGCTCTACTAAACAACACTTTGTCTTCTTTCAGACTTAAGTCAACCTTAATGAGATTAGCACCAGCCAAAAGTTATATAATCATACCCGAAGTAACAATGGATATAATACTGAGTTCTATTAAGGTACCTCTGTTTGAAGCAAGAATTACATGCAACCAGTAAAGAGGATCAGAGGAATCAGAAGACATAATGTCGTATAGCAGAATTTGGAAGCATACAAGGAAAATAAAGAGTGTGATGGCTGTTCATAACATCTTTTAGCGAAAAGAAATCTAAAAATACATTCCGATGTTATGAAAATTTGTTTTGCAAAGCAAAATTGTCATATAAATTTTTGATATCTAACCATTAACACTATTACCATAACTTAATTTTCATATTTTTTACCTTACAGCAAAAGAATTTAATTTACTCAAGGAACTTCATATTATCATTGTACCTGCTTGATACATATCAAAAAAAGTCAGTTAAAATTTTTGGTGTCCAAGTTAATTTGCAGTATTGATAGATATGTTTACAGTTTGAGATGCATTAAAGGTAAACTTTTTTTCTACGCATATTTGGTTAGGAGGTAATTAGTTATATCTATTCAATGTAATGTTTAATATAAGTTTTTGGTTGACAAAATGGCTATGTTAACAATTGAAAATTGGTGAAAAATTAAACACGCAAATATATTACGAAAGCCTTTGGAGATCATTGTGAGTAAAAAATTCTGAGACTTCAGGTTAAACGTGAAAATTTACTCATGTTTTTTTTTCACATACAAGTACTCATCTTTATCTATAATTATTATCCATTATTATAGATATTATTCAACAGGCATCTCTCTTCTCCACCCAGCTTCATTTCAATTCTCCTGAATTAGTAAAAGGTTAAGACAAAATTATTAGAATTGACTATGTGAGGACTTAGCGAAGAAGATTAATTAAGAATGGTAAGCATGATCTTGTCCTTATCTAGATTAGTGTTATGGCATATAAGAAAAAACCTCACGAATACATGTACATGTATTAATTTTTAAAGGTAAACAAGAAATTTCCTGAAATCTCCATATCATTTCAAGTTATAAACCTAAAAATTTATTTAAATTTTTGTTAAATATGTATATAATTTTTACGAATGCAAAAAAAAACTTAGTAGAAAAAAAGATGTATATATTGAAGGGAGAGCCTATCAACAAAGACTGCGAACAATGGAAACTCAACATGTCATTTTTACTATTACAAACTCTTTTGCTACTGGGCTTTAACAAAAAGTCTAAGTACTACTGACCACAGAAATAATATTGAAAATTGTAGATTGAATCTTCATTCTTAAACAGTTGAACTATACATATGTTCGTTAGTATATATATATATACATATATATATTTAATTATTAAATTGTTTTCTATTGGTCATATAAAGTACCCAGGTATATATTAGGTTTTTGGGCAAATAACTAATATAATACCTGGGTTAAAGATAGGTCCCTAAATTATTTGTAAGGACATAATTCAAATGTCCCTTATTATTAAAAATTTTTATTTCTATATTAAGAAATAAAAAAAAACTACCTATAAAGGTTCTTTATAGTTTTAAGTATCTATACAAATCATTTCTGGAATTATGTTCCTATTGAAGTAAAGAGCTAGAAATTATGTCCTCTAGGGGATGTGGACATAAAGAGACGTAAATTTTATATGCTAAATATTTTAGGGACCCATCTTTACTTACTACCATGTTATTTTCACAAGGTGGCTCCTAAACAAGTAACAAAACAAAGTTAAGCACCTTAACAAACCAAGCCTTTTCCTTTTTGAAAAAGGACAAACATAAAGCAACAAGTAAACAGGACAAAAAGTTTCCAACTTCAAGTCAACTACTTGCACAAATCATATTTAATATCATTCCTATAGATATAGAAAGTATCAAAGTTTTCTTTTTTAGCATGGAAATAAACAACTTCCCTCCTAACTTTCCTCTATTGGATTTTAAGATTCTGATACAAAAATTGTAACTGGTATTCTACAAATAAACAAAAACTTGATAAAGAACAAAAAGCAACTAACAATCAATAGTAGATAAAAACCTTTTACAAACTATTTGACCCAGCTATTTATTGGTAAACTAAATATAGCAAACATTGCTATAAGAGAATTATTAACTTAAACATTGTTTTGAATAAAAACTCTAAAGAAAAAATGAATATTCTCTTAGTAGAATTAGTACAATTTGAATCTTTTACTTTTTTCAGATATGGCATAAAAAAAACATCTTTATTGCAATCATTTTTTTTGATTTTGCAAAAGAAACAGATAAGGCAACTAATATTATACTATATGATGGTATCACAATTCACCTCACAGCTATAGAGCTGACCAATACAAATGAAATCAAAACAAGAATGATATGCATATGGAACATTCCCTTGAGTACCACAACATCTAAAGTATATACTGTTTTCTTTAAATATGGAAAAATCAACAATATGAAATTCCACACAGAAGGCATATGGCAATCTGCTACTATTGAGTTTGTCAATAAAAAAAATTACAATGAAATTACATAACATTGGTCTATCCCTTTTAAGGCAAACCTAATTAGGATCTTTTTATTCTTAGGAATCAATGAGATTAAATAATACTATAATTAGCATATAGCAAAATTAATTAATTTCCTACCAGAAACAATAGGCTATGATCTTAAAGAGATTATTAAAAACACAGGGATCAAAACTTGTTACATCCCCATAATTGCAACTATTTGAGAAAAAGATTTGTTGTTCTTAGCTTCAAAAATCATGAAAACAAAGAAAATGCAAAACAAATCACCTCTACTCTAGGTAATATACAACTTGTATAGTTCAAGCTTACTGACAAAATTTGTTTTATTTGTTCAAATTATGAATATTCAGCAATGGAATATCCAATTAAACAGAAAGCAATCCAAAGAAAATTAATAATGTAACAATAAGCCAAGTTCTTTGAAACTCTATATCAGAGATACAAACCTACTAACATAGCAACCATCTATAAAATACTTCCTTATAGCAATCAACTAACCTATGCACAAATGGTAAAAGCCTCCAATTACAATTCAAAAACACTTTTAATTAACAATATAAAACCTCTTCTCATAAGCAATTTTCAATCAACAATTCTAACTATAATTAACAACCTAGCCCAGGAACTTAATCTTATTAAACAAAGCATTAATAATATAAACAAAAGAATTGAATATTTCAAAGACTTTGCCTATTACCATTCCAATAAATGTAACTTGGGTACCAATCAACAAGATATAGATAATAAAAAAATGAAATTAGAATTCCATATATTGATTTTTTCAACACAACAAGAAATAGACAATTTCTTTGACTACTAATATAAAAGATAAGCTATCAGTTCTCTCAACAACATTAGACAAACACAAGCCAATATCAATAACAATATTTAATATCTGGAATCTAATATGAATAAACTTATCTCTACTATTAATATCTCAATAAACAGCACTCCAATTATTAATGGCAACAATCTTACTTTTGAAATCTAATGACAACAAACAACTCTTTTATAAACAAACCACTAAACATCTGAAACGTTACAACTATTAACATTTGTGAATTTAATAATCTCAGTAAATGATTCTTCTGATTCTCATATATCTTAAAATTAAACTTTCAAATCATAATATATACAGAAACAAACAACAAAACTGACAAATCCAAATTTTGAAAAATTCACAATTATCAATTATGATGGACTAATAATGTCCAATTACAATTCAAAACATTAGATTTGATATAAGAATCTCCATTACCAACAAATTGGCACAATAAGTTTTCAAAGTATAACAATGGAAAGGATGAGTCATCACTTTAGATCTGTCTTTTCTATATAACAAATATCTTAGAATAATAGCACTATATTATTTGATATCATCAATAAAGAAAAAACAACGCATATCCAACTATATCAAAAAATTAATTGAAAAAGCAATCACCAAACAGTAGAATATAATTATAGCAGAAGATTTCAATGCAGTTTCCAATCCACAACTTGACAAAAACTCAACTAATCCAATATGCACTTCCAATAATAAACCCATCAATGACTTAATCAAATTTTTAATAAACAACCAATTTATAAATACTTTTTAAGAAACATATCTAACTCTAAAGAAGTTTATCTGATCAAATAACAGAACAATACAAAGTAGAATTAATTAAATATGAATTAACCCATCCTCCCTATGGCTGCTAAAAAATACTAACATTACTGTATCAGACAAAAATATCTTTACAATAGACCATAACTTTACATATTGTATAATAGAAACATCTTTTCTTGACCAAGGTATATAATTCTTTCACTTGTTAAATTCTAATAACAGATTTAACTGATAACAAACCATATCTCATCAATGACAACTCTTTAATAAATAAATTTTTTTATAGCTTACAAAATATATATTCAAGTTTAAATTACATACAAGTAAAAATATAAACAAACAATGAAATAGTATCAGGAATGCCATCTTAAAAGCTAGTACTCTTCATATTCAAAAATATTAGGAAAAAAAGAAAAAAACAAAAAGTCATACAACCCCAAACCAACCATATTATTATTATATCTAAACTTATAAGAATATGCAAGCTTTGTATTAAAGAACAAACCATTATCAATTATATCCATACAATTAATCACCAAGATCATTAATATACTTACTAACAAATACAATATACCATTACCTTTACCATCACCAATTTAAAATGTTAATAAAAACATGCTAACAGATTAATTAACAGACTTAAAAACATATCTTCTAATAACAAAAACCATCTGGAAAAAATTTATAGTTGAATAACACAAAATCAAAATCAATTAATATATTGCTCACAGATAACAAATACTTAACAATACCAAAAAAGCAATAATTTGCAGCATTTTTAATCAACTATAGAGACACATTACTTTCGATAAATTTATAATTTATAATCCAGAACCAACAATTATTACAGATTCCACTCAAATCAAAACAATCACCAAAAATTACTTTAGCACATGAACAAAAGCTAGGAAAGTTAAACCATTCTCCTAATACTTTACCTGAACACAAGAATATGAATCAAAATCACATATCTCAACATACTAGTACAATGATCTCTTTAAACCAATCGAATTTTAGGAACTCAAAGAAAC